ACATAAAAATAATTGTTTATAATTGATAGATGGATAAAAAAATTTTGGTTTAATGCTAAACTTTGGTCCCTCAACTTTATAAAATTACACAATTTTAGTCTCTTAACTATTTTTTACACTTTTTAACCCCTTAACTCTAAAAATTACACAATTTTAATCCATTTGTCAATTAGTACAATTAACTTAGTCCATGTGACATTTTCCTTATTTTTTTAAAGACACGTCAATGACAAATCATACAATTAACTTAGGTGGACAATATGAAATTGTCAAGTCATATTCAATTATCATTTTTAATTATTTTCAATTCTTTAAATATAAAATTGCTAAAATGCTCTTACTTTAGAATTCTTGCCATCATTCTCCTCTGCCCTTTCTCTTTTTGTTCTCCTCACCACCACCACCACCACCACTGTTTCCAACATTTCTCACTCTACATCACTGTTTCTCTTTTCCCTTCCCTTTTATCCCTTGCAAAGATGATCTGGGTTCATGAGGAACCCAGACGATCTAAGTTTGTCATAAACCCAAAAAATGTGGGTTCATCACGAACCCAAATGATCTGCGTTTGTCATAAACCTAAAAGATGTGGATTCATCATAAACCCAGAATATGTAGGCTTGTCATGAACCCAAATCTAGGTTCTTGAGGAACCCAAGGAGGGTTTTTTTTCTTGGGGTCTTCCAGCATGAGTATGGTATTGATTGTTATGTTGATAAACCTTATTTTCTAGTATTTTGGAAGAAATTAGAAATAAGTAGTACCTTATAGATTCTGCTTGAACCTTCTAGTACTTTATTGCTTTTACCTTCTTGTGAATTATTATAATGAATAAGTGGTCATGAACCTAGATTTGGGTTCATGAGGAATCCAGACGATCTAGCTTTGTCGTAAACCCAGAAGATGTGGGTTCATCACAAACCCAAAAGATTTGGGTTCGTCACGAACCCATTAAAGGGTTCTCGTTGAACCCAGAAATGGGTTTCCTTCTTCTTCTTCTTCTTTTTCAAATCTAGCATCTATTTTTTTTTCCTTAGCACTGGACTATCAAATTTATTGTTGTTATTGTTAGCAATGCGAGATGAGAATCAAATGCCTTTCTTTTCGAAGAAAGAAAGAAAAGGAGAATGAGGGCTCAGATGATTGGGAAAGGAAAAGGGAAGGGGGGATAGACAATGGTAGAGGTGAAGAGAAGACGAACAGTGAGAGAAAAGGATAACTACAAAGAAGATGAAAGTGGGGGTAAAATTGTATTTTTGTCTTTTAATTTGTAAATTATTTAATGTTGTGGAACATGACTAGGCATTTTTATGTCTACGTAAGCTAATTACATGATTTGTTATTGCACATCATAAAAAATATACCATTTTAGAATATTTTAACAACCAAATGTTACTTAACTGATGGAGGGATAAAAATGGTGTAATTTTTGGAGTTGATGGATCAAAAAGTGCAAAAAATAGTTCAAAGAAGAAAATTGTGCAACACTATAAAAATTGAAGGACCGAAATTAACATTTCACCAAATTTTTTTTACGAAGTCCATACGTTAGAACATCCCATTTTAATGTGAGAATTTTTTTTTTTCAATTAACTTCCCCATAAAGGTTTCCTATAACCCTTTCTATACATGTTAAAAAGTATTGTACAATTAATATTGTATAATTTAAATTGTTAGATAAAAAATAAATTCTTAATATTAAGAATTATCTCTCATCTAATTCTTATTAAATTTTGCAGTTGAATGCAACACTCTATTTTTATTGTACAACAAATATACGAACGAGAATTTGATTTCGTTATTCAACTCCCTCGAAGACATAAGCATGCAATAAAAAATGGTTCTGGATTTTGGAGATGGATTTTGGAGGAGAACCAATTTAGTGAAGCCTCAGAAAAGCATTAGGGAACAATCGGAGGAGAACTGAATTCTTGACTTTAAGTCTTTAACAACCAGTGCATAAATCCCGTAACAGGGAAAGTGTGCAACAGCCAATGCAAAATACCTGTTAATATTGATGCCTATGTTAGATTCTCCATGTGTCGTAACTCACAGTTCAAAGATGGATAAAAGGAGAAAGCAGAGTCAGAAACATACCGTAAAGCGGTAAAGGTGCGCATGGGGAGTTAAAGTGCAGGAAATCATACGGCCACCTGAGAAGAGAGAAGCTCAAAATATATGTAACTAGCAATTGAAAAAGAAATCGGTCAAATATGTTATGCTTACCATGAAATACAGCAGGCATGAACCACCCATTGGAAAAAAATTTAAAAGCAGCTCCACAGAACAAAATATGCAAACCGGAGCAAAGGAAACGGCTGAAAATCAACATGATGAATGAAATCACTAACCCTTTGTTAGAAAAAAAAAAAAAAAAAAGGAGGAAAAAATCTGTTGTTCTTTCTCTTGATTGCCTTTTCAAGTAGTCTAGTGTACAAGAAGGTTAGGTTCCAACTCTCTTCAATCTTCATGATAAAAAAACTTACCATGCTATTGAGGGCCGTATCCAGAAGAAGAGAGAGCGGTAATCACAAACAATTTTAGTCTTCCACCATCTATTTTAGCGTTTCAGAAAATCCAAAAAAAACTATCATCAGAGAATCCACAAGTGGCAATAATTCACTATTTCATGGGAATGTTTTGCTTATCCTGGGGACCGTCAACAAGCAGAAGAGCTGCTTCTGAATAGAACGCTAAAAGAAGACCAGATGTTGGGTACCCCATGTACTTATTGTTCCTAATTTGACAAGCATTTTAATTTGTATAAAAGGAAATAACTGAGCGGATCATACAACAACTATCAGGAGCAAGAAGTTTAATAGACTGTCCACAAGAAGTCTAACCTCACCTTGGTCAGTTCAGTGCTGGGATTTTGGGAAAAAGGAACAAGAAGACACCAATTTACAATGTCTGTTAAGATGACAGCACCTCCACAAGTCTGTAACAGAATGAAAATTAAAGAACAAAATAGCTTGTCAGACGAGAGATACAGAATTTCCTTAAAACAAAGCACTGGATGAAAATCTTATAGCCCCAAGCGTTTTCCTTGAGCCACAATTCATACAACACTTAACATTATCAATGATACTTTTAAGTTTTTTTAGCAATCATGTAGTGAACATGAAAGGAAGAAAAATGATAGTAGAAAGCACAACTAACTGAAGTATTAACTGAGCCTAGGCTGGGCATGGAACACCAGACATGAAAGCTTGCGCGATCATAACAAAAAGAAATATCACTCTATGCATCTCTGACAAAAACGATACCAGCCTGGTATAATATTTGCATAAGATCTCCCCCAAATCTAACTATTTGCTGACTCTTGATTGAATGATTCTCAGAAAGAGGTCCATTTGATAATGCAAAACACCCATAAGCATATATAAGAGTTCCAAGCTACACAGAGAAAGGAAATGTGTAAAGCACTAAAGCAGGAATTGCTTTAAAAACAAGTGTGGATTCTGTTTAAAATAAAATGTGTTTAAATGGGATCCTAATGCTTAATATACCAAAAAATAGACGGTAACCAATATAAATGTCCACCTCCATTTTAGCAACATAAGAATAGCCGATCAGAAGACATCCATTTCAACCGTTTCCATACTAACACAATAGAATTTAATGTTCTAAATAACATAAAAATCTACAAGTCAAAATGCCCCAAAAGATGAGAAAATTGTACTCTCTAGATTCAATTCCCCTGAAGCAACAGAACAAACGAGAAGTAGACAGACTTAGGCATGATCTTACTTAGTGTAGAAATAGAAGGTATGAGGTATTGCTGAGGCAACAATCATAGAAAAAATCAGAGTCATGCATATGAAAGCCAAAGCTCTGTAGCAAAGTAACCAGAGAGGATTGAGCTTTTTCCACTGTGATTTCCACAAATTATTGAAGTAAAGCGGCTCTGCTTTAACTTTCATGATAACGTAAATTGCTCTCGCAAATGGGGGTGCAATGATCAATCCACAGATTGCAGCATCCCAGCGAAGGAAGTACCCAGGACCATCCGACGGTATTTTCTGAACGAACTAAGCTTAAACAAGTCTTGATACGTCTGAAAAGAATTGGGATTCGTCGACAAGACAAGAAAGATTGTAACTTTTTATTGTTCTTCCACTGAAGTTCTCTTCTGGGGTGAGTGAGAAGGGGCAGGCCGGCAGGGTCATGACTCGTGCTGGTGACAAGGAGCAGGGACCTCGGAAACTGATTCGTGCCATTGAGAAGGAGCCGGAACCCACCGTCATGACTCGTGCCGGTGAAATGGAGCAGGGTCATGACTCATGCCCGTGAGAAAGGGCAGAATCACGACTCCCGCCGGCGAGAAGAATGTGCTAGGACGTCATCATTGCTGTTGCGTGACGGATTTCTCCGGCGGGTCAGACCCTCGTCAGTCAGAGGTTTAATAACGGAAGTTGTTGCAGTTGAACCGAGTCTGCCTGTTAAAAAACAACGGGCTTCGTAATATGAAGTTGTTAACGGAGGCCCATACAAGGCCCAAATTTGAAATTTTCCCCCTTTTTTTTTTTTTTTTGCTTTTCCTTTGCTATATATATATATTTATTCCTATGCTATAAAATTATTTACTCCACCGTTTAAGATTAGTTTTCATGTTTTTTACTTTTATTTTATATTTATTTTAATAAAATAATTACAACACATATTATATAAATGTGTTTTTTTTTTTTTTTTTTTTTTTTTATCTTGGGTTATATACTAAGAGTTAACATTTTACCATTCCTTAACCTACTTTACTTGCGTATCATGTTTATTTAAATAGTATAGGACTAGTTTATTAGGGATAATTATGAAATTTTATCATTTGATTAGTAATCTCAATGTTATTGTTAAAAAAAAAAAAGTCATCTTTAGTTGAAGGAATGAAGTATTAGTGATTGAAATTACAATTCAAACTATATTAAACTATAAAATATAAATCTTCAAATAAGGGATAAGCTTCTTAATATTGGAGCTCTTCCACATCCAAGGATCCTTATTTTGCACAATTCGAACTATTAAACAGTAGATTCATTAGTTGTTTATGTTTTCGATATTAAGTGGAGTTTGAGTGCATCTTGTTGGGATAGTAATCTAACTAGACCATAAATGTAATAAAGATCCATGAGACTCAAATACAAAGAAACACATGCATGAGTCACTATGGAGCTCATATATACCCAAATGGATCCAAAGGGACCAATAGACATGCAACACATGTGAAGCATTCCTAAAGAGTCTATAAATACCCCCCACACCCCTCAAAGGTGAGGACTTTTTTCAGAGCCCTTCTTTCTCTATTATACTCCTCTCTCTAAAAAGAGCCCTAAGTATAGAACATTGCTAACTTGGGTGTCAAGGTCTCTACCTCGAGGGAC